GGAGCGGGAGGAGCGGGAGGAGCGGGTGGAGCGGGTGGAGCGGGTGGAGCGGTGGAGCGGGTGGAGCGGGAGGAGCGGGTGGAGCGGGTGGAGCGGGTGGAGCGGGTGGAGCTGTGTGTGATGAGAGGGTCGGTGGATAATGGAGGGTCTGACTGAAGAGGCTCATTCACACAGAACAACAGAGCACCGGCGCTCTCTCTTCTCTCACACACACACACACACACACACACACACACACACACACACACACACACACACACACACACACACACACACACACACACACACACACACACACACACTCGACAGAACGACGAGGCGGCTCGGGGAACACGGGAAACATAAAAGCCTCGGGTCGGGAGCAGAGTTCAGGCTTTTTATGTTGAGTCCTGATTCATGTTGGGAAATTAAAGGCGTTTTATTTCGCAAAATGGCTTCATGTGAGTTTTAAAAAGGCGCACTGTGTAACTTTTCGGTTCAGGGTCTGTCACCTGCTGCTGTTTCTATGGATACAGTATGTATGTGGTCTACCTGGAATGTTCCACAGTGTGACATTAAACAGTTCTACTTTAGGGTTACGGTTAAAACCTACACAAAAACACCGCCTTGTAAAAGAATCATTAATATCTCCAAAACGAGCCACAAAATGGAGTCAATCGTTTGTGTTTCGTTTGTGCTGCAAAAAATTTTGTTTGTGTGCTTCTGGTTCTTAAGATATTTGCACTTTTATTTATTTTATTTTGGGCTGATGACGTCGTCCAGCCCCTCAAAATGTGAAACAGTCTCAAAACAAGAGAAAATTATACAAAACTTTTATGTTTCGTTTGTGTTGTTTTGTGCCTTGACGATTTTCATTTGTGTGAGTTTATTTCTAAAATTACTAATTATTATTTGACATAATTTCCGTTCAGCTGAGGGCAGCGGCTTAAAAAAAACTCCACAAAACTAGTGAAGAGAAACAACCTGAGGCTGTGGAAAAGTCTGGATCTTGTCTTTAGTCATTTGCTTTTCATTCATATTTTATAAAATAATACAGACTTTTCCAGACAGACTGATCAGATACAGGACACTGAAAAAATTACATTTCAGGCTGCAGTCTGAACAGTAGGGGTGTGCAAAAATATTGAAATATCGATATATCGCATTGCTTACTTTGATGATACAGTATCGATATCGTGGACTGCTGTATCGAGATATTGCTGAAAGTACTTTTAGGTATATTTTACTAAATTATTTTGTGTAAGAGCTACGATTGTGTTGAGATTTTCGCTGTTTTGAGTAAAATGGGTGTTTTTCATATTAACTTTGCACAAATTTTGTTAACTTATTGGACTTTTAGTTTCACAGCCTTTGTTTTTCATTGAACTGTATCGAATCGATTTGAAACATATCGTATCGAATCGTATTGAATCAAAAGTGCACTGTTTCGAAAAGCGTATCGTATTATGGCCTATGTATCAAGATATGTATCGTATCGACAACTTCTTAACGATACCCAGCCCCACTGAACGTAGATTTAGTATCACAGACACGATTTAGACTTTTTTTTTTTATTGAACCATACTGAGTCGATCTGAAATATATCGTATCAAATCAAAAGTGAACTGTGTTGAGATGTATCGTATCGTGGTCTATGTATCGAGGTATTTATCATATCGGCAACTTCTTAACGATACCCAGCCCTAATCTGCCATGTGTGTGTTGTGTTGTGTTAGTGTTAGTGTTGGTTAGTGTGTGTTGTTGTGTTGTGTGTTAGTGTGTTTGTGTTAGTGTGTGTGTGTGTGTTGTGTGTTATGTGTTGTTTGTTGTGTGTGTGTGTTGTGTGTTGGTTCGTGTGTGTGTTTGTTGTGTTAGTGTTGGTTCGTGTGTGTGTTTGTTGTGTTAGTGTGTTCGTTGTGTGTGTTTGTTGTGTTAGTGTTGGTTCGTGTGTGTGTGTGTTGTGTTGTGTTGGTTCGTGTGTGTGTGTTGTGTGTGTGTTGTGTTTGTGTTGTTGTGTGTGTGTTTGTTGTGTTAGTGTTGGTTCGTGTGTGTGTTTGTTGTGTTAGTGTGTGTGTTGTGTTGTTGTGTGTGTGTGTTGTGTTAGTGTGTGTGTGTTTGTTGTGTTAGTGTTGGTTCGTGTGTGTGTTGTGTTGTGTTGTGTTCGTGTGTGTGTGTGTTGTGTTAGTGTTTGTTCGTGTGTGTGTGTTTGTTGTGTTGGTGTGTGTGTTTGTTGTGTTAGTGTTGGTTCGTGTGTGTGTTTGTTGTGTTGGTGTGTGTGTGTGTTGTGTTAGTGTTGGTTCGTGTGTGTGTTTGTTGTGTTGGTGTGTGTGTGTTGTGTGTGTGTGTGTTGTGTTAGTGTGTGTGTGTTGTGTTGTGTGTTAGTGTTGTGTTGTGTGTGTGTGTTGTTGTGTTGGTTCGTGTGTGTGTTTGTTGTGTTAGTGTGTGTGTGTTGTGTTAGTGTGTGTTTGTTGTGTTGGTGTGTATGTTTGTTGTGTTAGTGTTGTGTTGGTTAGTGTGTGTGTGTGTGTGTGTTGTGTGTGTTGTGTGTGTGTTTGTTGTGTTGTTGTGTGTGTGTTTGTTGTGTTGGTGTGTGTTTGTTGTGTTAGTGTGTGTTGTGTGTGTGTGTGTGTGTGTGTTGTGTTGTGTTGTGTGTGTGTTGTGTTGTGTTGTGTGTGTGTTGTGTGTGTGTTAGTGTGTGTGTTGTGTTAGTGTGTGTTGTTGTGTTAGTGTTGGTTCGTGTGTGTGTTTGTTGTGTTAGTGTGTGTGTTTGTGTGTGTTTGTTGTGTTGTGTGTGTGTGTGTGTGTGTTTGTGTTGTGTTGTGTTGTGTGTGTTTGTGTGTGTTGTGTGTGTGTGTTGTGTTGTGTTGTGTGTGTGTGTTTGTTGTGTTGTGTGTGTTGTTGTTGTGTTAGTGTTGTGTGTTGTGTGTTGTGTGTTGTTTGTGTGTTGTGTGTGTGTGTGTGTTTGTGTTAGTGTTGTGTTGTGTGTGTGTGTGTGTTGTGTTGTGTTGTGTGTGTGTGTGTTGTGTGTTTGTGTTGTGTTGTGTTGTGTTGTGTAGTGTTGGTTTGTGTGTGTGTTCTGCCTGTGAGGCCGGGTTTCACTGTGTCGGTCTGGACTCTATTCAAGGTCACAGTCCAGGCTCAGTCACACATGAATTATTGAACTCTGCTCTGCCACACACACACACACACACACACACATACACACACATACACACACACACACACACACACACATACACACACACAGACAGACACACACACACACACACACACACAGAAACACACTGGCCATGCTTACCAATTATGGTTTGTGCAAAAAATATTGAAATATCAATATATACACCATCGATATCATGGGCTGCTGTATTGATACGTCACCAAGAGTATTTTTAGAAAACTATTCAGTGTCAGAGCTACAATTGTGTTGACATTTTTACTGTTTTCATGAGTAAAAGAATGAGAACTTTTTTGAAATGGGTGCGTTAGAGGAGAGGGAGCTGCTCAAGAACATAGAGAACCAGCCCGCACACTGTTTTACTCGCAAAATGTGATTTATTAGGACTTGCAAAATGTGATTTATTAGGACTTGCAAAATGTGATTTATTAGGTCTTGCAAAGTGTGAGATTTATCAGTACATGCTCTAATAAATCTCACATTTTGCAAGTAAGACGGTGTGTGGGATTTTTCTCTATGTTCTTCGGCTGTTTTGTTGAGTAAAATGGGTGTTTTTCATTTTAACTCTACACAAACTTAGTGGACTTACAAGACCTTTAGTATCACAGCCATAATTTAGATTTTAAATTTTTTTTTACACTGAATTGTATCAAATCGATTTTAAATATATAGTATTGAATTGGACTGAATTGAATGCTCACTGTATCAAAAACACTAATCCGATGGAAAACGGCTCCAGAGATGGAACGATCTGGTGCCTCCTGCTCCCACGAATTCATGTTCGTACAGATCTGATCCGGCACCGTGTGAACGCCTGAAAACACTGATACTCTGACATAGGAGCTCTAGTCACGTCCTTATTGGACCACATCACTGTGACCTGCTCCTGCCTGATTCTCTGGGTTCGTGACATCGGTCATGTGACGCTGTTGCGGAAAACACTTTAAACAAACCAGAGACAAACGGGAAACAGCGGAGATACAACTACTCGCTTGTACATGGACTGTTTTTACGAACTGCAGATGTATAATCTCTGAAAAGTTTCACATGAACCATCTCCAACACGACAGAAACACAGAACAGACTCACCATCAGCAGAACACCCCTCTGTCACAGAGAGAACACTCATATTACACTAAGTCGTGTTCTTTAGTCCGACAGAAACTGAACCGCATCAGCGACACAAGGAAAGAGCTGTTGTTTTTTTTGAGGCTTAGTTTATGCAAATGAGCCATGTGGTTTTAAGTTTCATTTCTGTAAAATGTAAACAAATATGCTCAAAGTTGTGTGGACAGGGAAGGATTGTGGACACAGAAACGACGTGTGTGGACGGAAATTGTTTCCGATAGGTTATGTTTACACTGAAACAAATCACAGTAAGACATTTCCTGGGAGAATATGCGCATTTCCTGCTGGAATGTTCCGCAGTGTGACATTAAACAGCTCTACTTTTACATTTACAGCTGGTTTTATAGCTCAAAAAAAACTTTTAAAAACAGGCATTCTGACTGTGAGCGGAGTCGCCTCTACACAGATCTGACCTGGAACTTGGTCTGGTTTGGTCTCCATGAAGATAGAAAGGTTAAAGCCATACTGTGAAACATTCTAGACCAAGCAACAACATCTCCATGGAGAAAAGCATCTGAAAAATTACACAACGCAGCTTTAAGACTGAAGGTTTTACGCTCTTTATGATCTAGTTCCAGAACCTTCTTTCAGTCTCCGGTGAAGACGCTCTGAGGCTGATTAGAAATGACAGAATCTTGATTAAAACTTGAGTAACTGCACCTGACGCCCAAAACTCAGAGCCGTACGAACGCAGGCGGGTGCAGGAGTTTCCCCTTACCTCTCGGCGCAGACGGTATCAGTCGGCTTCAGTCTCCATCCTCGGGCCTCGCGGGTGAACGGGGACCAGCCGGGAGCACGTCTGGGACATTCAGTCTGTAACACAAACACATCTGAGCTCAGCGACGACGTTTAAAGCTACTACACTACACAAAACGGAAACTCGTGAGATTTAAAGACGTGTTTGAATGTTGTTACCTCGTCAAAAACAAAGCTGGAGTTTTGTTTTGTTTCATTCACACATCTGAGTAACCCTAATATTCTTAAAATTTTAAGATATAAACACTTCTAATCTATCAGAAAATGACATAAAAGTAGTGAACATCTCTCTCCATGCAGCAAGATCATTTTACTCGACAAGTTTTCTTAAAATAAACAACCTCTAGACAAGAATGAAGCATCTCAGAACTAGTAAGTACTGTATTTTTCGGACTATAAGTGTCATTTTGTTCCTGGTTTGTGTGTTTCCTGTGACTTATTCTCCGGTGTGACTTCTATATTAAAATGTTTTTGGTGAAGTGTGGAGAGGTTCTAGTCTTGTGTGTGAGTATCTGCTGCTCCTGTTCCTCCTGCACCACTGTCACTTGGCTCTACTGCGCATGTCTCCTGCAGAAAGAGCCTCTGTCCTGTCTGTATCATGTCAGTCGATCGCACCGTTACTTCTGCACCACTGAACAATTTAACATTTAAACTTTAAACTTATAAAGACAAAGACTGAGAAGACTGAACACAAATGGACACAAAAAACAAAATCAGATTCTGCAGATTACAAACTGCGAGTCGTGAAATCTGCAGCTGAAAACGGAAATCGAGCAGCAGAAAGAAAGTTTGGAGTGAGAGAGAAACTTGTGACACCAGGAGGATGAACCATGAAACTTTCCTGAAGTCACTGGACGGATGGACAAAGTCTGGACTTCAGTGACACCGAAACCATCCTGTCGGGATTCAGAAAAACCCCAATAATTCGGTAAATATAACCAGGTCTAACCCCCGTCTAAACCAAGGTCTGAACCAAGTTCTGAACTGGAAGCTGTCCTAAACCAAGTCTAGGTCTAACTGAGGTCTAACCAAGATCTAATTCAAGTCTAATCTAGATCTAAACCAGGTCTAATCCAGGTCTAATCCAGGTCTAAACCAGGTCTAACCCGAAGTCTAACCCGAGGTCCTTCAGTGACACCGAAACCATCCTGTCGGGATTCAAAAAGACCCCAATAATCGTCTCTTCACTTTTGGAAACATGCGACGACGACGACTGGGCTCGACCGACTGTGATCAAACCCGCTGAAGTAAACGTGCTCAGCGGTAAACTGAAGTCTGCAGACGCGTGTGCCGTTCGGAATCATCTCGTCTCTTCTAGTCGCGTGAACCCAGTGCACTCGGAGTTTTGCGTCAGTGGGGAAATTATGAAAACTGAAGTCTGGTTGGAATCATTGATGAGCCGAACATAACGGAAAACTACAGCGACATGGAGATGAAGAAAACTGCGACATTTTCTCATTTTTCCTAGATTTTGTCAGACTTACTCCCACGAACAGAACCCAAAAGGAGCTGTAAGCGCATGTTTCAGAATGTCGTCCTGGTTTGTGACGTCAGCGTGAACAGAGACGATTCTAACTGGAACCGAAACCGTCCTGTCGGGATTCAAAAAGACCCGAATAATTCTAACTGATGCTGAGTCTGACGCCAGCGACACAGAAGAGTTTGCGTCGCTCTGTTTACCTCCGGAGGTCGAGTTGTTCAGAAGTGACACCGAGGATGAAGAATTGAATGGATTTAGTGATTTGGAGTGAGATGGAGAGTTTGGTTAAACTTGTTCTGTTCTGTTGTTTATGTTATAGTTTATCTGAATCTTATCGAAATAAATTTACCCCAAAAAGTGCAACTTATATATGTTTTTTTCTTCTTCATTACGCATTTTTTGGCTGGTGCGACTTATACTCCAGAGCCACTTATAGTCCGAAAAATACGGTCGATAATAAATCTGAAAACAAGATGAATAACCTGATATGAGCTTTAAAATCTTGGCCAGATCAGAGAAATTTTCAGTGTAGTTCAGTAGAAATCGGCAATTCCAGTGTTGAAATGATTCTAGTGAAGGTGTGTGGAGTTTAAAAACACAGTGGAGCACTTCCTTTATCAACACATGACATCACAAAGTGGAACAGAGTGTTTTCTGTTTGAGAGAAGAACTCGAAAAGCTTCTGTTTAGCTGTGCAAGTGACTGAAAGGTTTTTATTCTGCACTTTTCTCTCTCATTTAATGTTTCTCTCTTTTTTTATTTTATGGTGATTATTTAGGTTTTAATTTGTTTGTATTTTGATTTTTAATGTATGTCTTATTCTGTTTTTTTTTGTTTAACATGTGAGAATGAAACAAAACACAACTCCAGATCTGTTTGTGACGAGGAAACTACATTAGAACATTGACAATCATTGAATTCCTGCTTTTTTTTTTGCTTTACCAGCCGCGTTTGTTTGGAAACTATCGAAGCAACGCAGCAAAAATCTGACATTCACGGTTCGTTTATTCAGGGCCACAATCGCACAATCAGGCCACGGACTTCAAGGACGTGCCCCGCGATCTGACAAACAGGTTATGTAAGTAATGTGGTGAAAACATTTCACCAATCTATTCCACGAACACAAAGGCGGGAGGACAGAACAGCAGCTCTGATACCAACTCAAAGTAAAGGAAGCTGAAAGTTGGTTTAATAAAAACACACATGAACAAGTAAATGGTTTTGCATTTTGTTCCCAAACTGAACCAAAAATGAACCGAACCGTGACCTCAAAACTGAACCGTGATTTTTGTACCATTACACTTCTAATCAAAACAGTGAAAATGTCAAATGCGTCGCATAAACAAGCAACAAAACTGCAGCTGTAACCAATGTTCCTCTAAGCTGCTCAACTGCGCACTGCTCGCACACTCAGCGCACAAGAAAACCTACGCAACGCACTGCAAAGGAATTAGATCTATAAAAAATGTTTCTGTATCATTTTGCTGTGTAACTCAGTGAGTGACATGTGTCCAGCCAATCATACGATACGATGCAATTATGCTACGCAGCCAATCACGGCGATGACAGTACATGCGCACGTGCTCTGCTCACACGTGCTATACAGGCAAGGCAAGTTTATTTGTACAGCACAACTCGTACACAAAGTCATTCAAAGTGCTTTATAGAATAAGAAATACATTAAAATCATAATAAAAACAAATCAAAACATAAATAATCATGAAGATTAAAATTAAAAAAGAGAGTGAAAACCTTTCAGTTATATGCACAGTTAAACAGAAATGTTTAGAGTCTGGATTTAAACAGCGTCACAGAAGAGTCTGTCTCACATGTTCAGATTGTTCCAGGTTTTAGCTGCATGAACCTGAAACTCTGACTCCCCTTGTTTAGTCGTGACTCTGGGCACCAGCAGGAGTTGGTCCCTGAGCTCCTCAGAGTGTGAGATGGTTCATATGACACTAACATGTCACAGATGGACTTTGGTGCTCGGCCGTGGAGACACTTGTACAAACAGAGACGCTTTAAAGTCTAACAATAATAACAGTGCGGCGGAGTTAAGTGACGCTAATGCTAACCCCTTGTCATGGCGAAACGAACGGGCAGTGAATGTGATACGTCCACTCACCAAACCAAAGTAAAAAAGAAATACGGTTCTTTTAAGATGGAATGGTTGTCGGATTATGTGCAAATAGAAGAACAAGCGTAAAAGATGCGTGTAAAGTCAAAGCAAGAAGCAGACGGAGCCATCGACCTGGACACAGTGTACAACCACTGGAGAAGTGAAAAGGATTGACGTGAAAAATTATGCACAAATTTGACTTAAATTTTACCCTTTCTAGAGAGATTTATTAAGATGTTTTATTTATGGATATTCATCATTAAATTCTATTATGAGTAGATCATTTATTGGTAGTAGAAATGCTAATAAAAGACACAAGCTACAGCACACGTCATTGTGGAAAATGTGAATGTTTTAAAGGTTGTATGGAGGATTTTTTGTTTTTGTTTCAAATTGTCAGTGAAAGTTTAAAATACCATTACAGAGACACAGCAGCTTTGTAATTCTGATGACTAAAAAAAAAAGAATGAAAATCTATCAAATGTGGACGTGTTGAGGCCAGATAAACATCAGCCAATAGAAAACGAGGCTCCCTCATTTTCTATTGGCTGTTAGGTTGTCAATCAAACTCCCTAGGTTTCTAGTGTAACTGACGGGATCACGTGGTTTATGCAGCGGTTCTTCGAGGCTTTTTCAAACTGTCGCTTCCTCACAATTCGCACAAAGTTTGTCGCGACGGCGGACGAGAATCCACAACCAGTTCGCCGCAAAAAAAGACGGTTTTTGAGGTCGCAGAAAGAAGGAGAGAAGGAGAAAAGGAGCGAAGACAAACTGAGGTGATTCTTGGAGATTCCTTCCAGCGATGGCGCGACTGAAACAGACGAAGGGTCTAAAAACTGACGAGTTGGTCGCTAAATTATTTCTAGACAGGAAACTTCACTTCAGCAGTAATTCTGAACGCGCACAGATGTAAACAAACGTGACTCTAGAGTAAAGAGGCGAGAGGAGATGTTTCTACTGATGGAGCTGTAGAGGAGGAAGGTGGTGTCACTCCTGCACAACATTTGAAAAAAGGACTGTCGCTGTATTTCTCTTCCCTTAAAAAATCCTCTATACAACCTTTAATGTGAGTGAAACTTTGGAGTCCAGCTCCGGCCACTAGACGAGTCAATACATATAGACCACGATGCACTGGCAGAGTTGGAAAAACACCAGCGGACAGCAGCAGGTCTTTAACTCGACACGACACGAGTGAATGAAGCAGATGAAGCTCTGATGTGTCTGATGACGTGACGCTCTGTCTGTTCCATTATGAAAAAAAAAAAAAACTCAAATAGTCAACGGTTAAAGAGCCAATAACCTCCTCACGAAGCTTTACTCCACCCTGAGCAAAATCTGAAACATACGCCAGAGTGAACGGTGCTGCTTGGCAGGTTTTGGGGCGAGGCGGTGTGGGGTGGGCTGTGGTGTGGGGCAGGTTTGGTGGTAGAGGGCGGTGTGGCGGTGTGGTGCTGGTGG